CCGTCCTGGTTGGGCCACTCCACCTTACTCTGGATCTCTTCAGCCGTCTTCAACCCATCAGGTAATCCTCGAGCTTCAATTCCCTCTTTCATTTCAATTCCCAAATTGCTCTCCATAATCTCTAACCCTCGTTCCTCTCTTCCCAATTCCTCTTCACTCATTCGATTGCTCTCCATAATCCTTAACCCTCTTTTCTCTCTCCTCATATCCTCTTCACTCATTCGTTATTCCTCTTCTCCTCTGACTTCTCCTCCGACTCTAACAATACCCACCCCACGAGATGAGCCTTGTCCCCAAGGATCAAAATCATAAAACTGCCCCCTGAGAACCGAATAGTCCTCCCATGTATCATTCAAGGCATCTAGATTCGTCCATCGAACCAAAAGTTGAGTTACTGGTCGATTGTTTCGATTTATTATATGTCTTCCTATAATCTTCAAAGGTTTAATACTGAACTGTCATTCCTCATCAACTGCAGGAGGGTTTGTGGCAGCAGTGGAAGAGTCCCCGATGAACTTCTTCAAGAGACTCACATGGAACATTGGGTGAAGCTTCGAAGAATTCGGTAAGTCCAAATGATAAGCCACCTCTCCAATTCTTTCCAGAATTGTATATGGACCATAATAGTTGGATGCTAACTTGAGGTTTTTTCGTAGAGCAATTGAGGTTTGCCTATAAGGTTGTAGCTTCAGGTAAACCCTATCTCCAATAGAAAAACCCTTTATGACCTTCTCTTATCTGCCTGTTGCTTCATACGATTACTGGCAAATTCTAACTGCTGTTTCACCAATTGTCTAATCTGCTCTCTATTTGTGACAATATCTTGTACTGATTGCAATGTAGTATCAGTAAACCAAACCATAATAGGTGGTTTATAGCCATATAAAGCTTGAAATGGAGTAAGCTTAATAGCAGTATGATAAGTGGTATTGAACCACCACTCTGCCTGAGATAGCCATTTAGCCCATTTCTTAGGTTGATAGAAACAAAAACCCCTTAAATACTGCTCCAAACATTGATTAACTCGTTCTGTTTGACCATCTGTTTCCGGATGGTAAGCAGTGCTAAAAACTGTCTGAGTGCCCAACTGCTTCATCAGTTCCTTCTAAAAAGAACTGGTAAAAGTCTTATCTCTGTCTGAGATGGCCATCTTAGGTTGGCCATGTAACTTGTAAACATTATCTAGATACAATTTAGCAATATCAGCTGCTGAATGGGGATGAGATATGGCCAAAAAATGACTATACTTTGTAAATTTATCCACTATAACCAAGATGCAATTCTTCTTGAATGAGGGAGGTAGTCCTTCTATGAAATCCATAGTGATGACTTCCCAAGCCTGATTAGGAATAGGTAAAGGTTGTAATAGACCAGGTTTAGGAATATGCTCCACCTTTGTTTCTTGACAAACTGTGCAACCTCTCACATAAGTAGTAACCATAGCTTTAAGTTTAGGCCAATAAAAATTAGACCTAACTCTGTAATAAGTAGCCTGAATTCCTGAATGACCACCTTGTGGAGAGTCATGCAAGGTTTGAATAATCTTCAACCTAAGATTTCTGTGAGCCCCAATATAGACCATTCCATTATATCTAAGAACAGCATTAGAAAATTTCTAGTTACTGTCTACAGTAGGATTTATAGCCAGAATTGAAATCCAATTCTGAGCTAAAGTATCACCTTGATAACTGTCCTCCACCTCCTGCACCCAAGTAGGAATTAAAACTATCACTCCTAAAGTAAAACACTGAGCTTGGTCTTCCCATCTTCTAGATAAAGCATCAGCAACAACATTTAATTTTCCCTTTCTATACTGTATAGTATAGTCCAGCCCCAATAGCTTTGTTAATCCCTTCTTCTGAATAGTGGTAGTCAATTTCTGTTCCAACAAAAACTTTAAAGGCTCATGATTAGTTTTAATAACAAAGGGTCCATTCTCCAAAGAATGCCTCCACTTAGAAACAACCAAGAGAATAGTAAGATATTCTCTTTCATAAATAGACAGTGTTGAATGTCTAGGACTTAGAGCCTTACTCATATAAGCAATAGGCCTTCCTTCCTGTGATAGAACAGCCCCAACACCCCCAGAACTTGCATCTGTTTCCAAGTAAAAAATCTTAGAAAAATCAGGCAATGCTAAAACTGGAGTAGAACACATAGCTCTTTTAAGGTCTTCAAAAGCAATGGAAGCCTCATAATTCCACTGAAACCCATTATTCTTTAAGAGTTATGTTAAAGGTCTACTAATAATACCATAATGTCTGATAAACCTCCTGTAATACCCTGTCAATCCAAGAAATCCTCTCAAAGATTTAATGGTCTTAGGTCTTGGCCAAGTCTGCATTGCTTCTACCTTGGTAGGGTCAGTAGATACCCCTGCAGCAAAAATTATGTGACCTAAATATTCCACCTGATGTTGTCCAAAAAAACACTTGGACAATTTTGAAAATAATTTATTAACTTGCAAAACTTCCAAAACTAGTTGCAAATGCCTCATATGATCCTACATACTACTACTGTAAACCAAAATGTCATCAAAGAAGACCAAAACAAATTTCCTAAGGAAATAATTAAATAAATCATTCATAAGAGCCTGAAATGTAACAGAAGCATTAATAAGGTCAAAAGGCATCACCTTAAATTCATAATGGCCTTGATGTGTTCGGAAGACTGTCTTATAAATATATTCTGGTTTGATTCTAATCTGCCAGTATCCAGACCTCAAATCAATCTTAGAAAAATAGAGTGCCCCATGCAACTCATCCAATAAATCCTCCACTATAGGAATAGGAAATTTATCCTTAATTGTCATGATATTTAAATGTCTATAATCCACACAAAATCTCCAAGTGCCATCCTTCTTTTTAATAAGAAGGCAGGGTGATGCAAATGGACTTTTACTAGGCTGAATAACAGAAGAGGAAATCATACTAGCAATATGTTTTTCTACCTCAACTTTCTGATTATGAGGAAACCTATAGGGTCTAAGATTAACAGGTGTAGCAGTAGGATTTAGAGGAATAGCATGATTATGAGTCCTCTGAGGTGGTAATCCTTCTGGTTCAGCAAAAACAATGCTATACTTGTCCAATAATTGTTTTATTTCAGTAGGAATAGGATGAGAATTCCCTGACATAGTCAATAAAACAATGTGACCCATAATATCTGAATCCCAAGCAGTCATTTTAAGTAAGGTAGCCCCTGAAATCTATTGTAATTCTGATGAAGGTTGTTGGCCTTGAATACATATTTTTTCTCCTTGATGATCAAAACTCAAGGTCATATTATTGAAATCCATCAATATAGGGCTAAACAATTTCATCCAATCAACTCCCAACACCATATCACTACCACCCAAATTAAGTAATCTGAAATCATGTACAAATGTGTGTCCCTGCATTTGCCATTCTACTTTGTTGCATCTAGCAGAACTGAATAATTGTTGTCCATTAGCTACAGTGATAGCCAAAGGATAAGGGGTTGTAATTTGTATACCAGCATCAGCCCATTTTGGAGTCAAAAAACTATGTGGACTCCCACTGTCAATTAAGATATTCAATGATCTGTCCTGAATATATCCTTGAATTCTCAATGTAGTATGTTCAATAGAGCCTGTAATCGTATTCATAGAAATTTCTAAAGTTTCCTCTTCTTCTTGTGAAGATTGTTCTGAATCAGTAGGAAAATTTCTAATGAATTTTCAGACTCCTCAGTAATCATATTCAACTGTCTGTTCTTACATTGGTGACCTGGAATAAATTTATCACCACACTTAAAACAAAGATTATTCTGTCTCTTGTAATCAATAATATTCTACCTTGGATTATGCACTGCTGTAGGTTTTGAATTAACTGGCAGTGAAGCAGGTTTAGAACTAATAATGGGGCTTGGGTAGGGTGAGAATTTAAAATTAGGCCTCAACCTTCTATTTTCAAACTCAACAGATAACTCATAAAGTTTTGCATGTTTACATGCTTCAGACAAATTCTTAGGATCCAAAGCCTTGACCCTATGTTTGATATCATCTCTTAGCCCACTAATAAAAAGTGAAACAAAAAATTCCTCAGTTAAAGTGGGGTTTTGTAACAGCATATGAGGTTGTAATTCCTCAAATCTTTCTTGATAATCCTCAACAGACCCTTTTTGAGTCAATTTAGTAAACTCCTCCACAATATCAGAAAAGGTTCTATCACTAAATCTGTAACACAAATCAGCTTCAAACTCATGCCATGTTACATGGTGTTTTTGTATAATATACCCATCAAACCAAATTTAAGCATTGCCTGTTAAATACATTGTAGCTACTTCCACCCTCTGCTCAACAGGAACATTACAAATAGAAAAATATTTCAGGCATTTCTGAATCCATCCTCTAGATTAACCCCTTCAAAGAAGGGCAGTTCTATTTTAGGTCTATGTCACATAGTTCATGCACTGCTAAATGAACCCCTTGACCCCCTTTTGATTCATAGGCTTAGAACTACTTTTAATGGCTAAACAAGCATCAGGTTTACTCTCTAATATCCCAGGTTCATCCATTTTATAAGTAAATCTAGATTTTTGATTCACCATAGTCACCAAAACAGGTCTTTTCTCCTTATTTTTAGAAGTATCAGGAGATTGTATCTGGTCTCCAACAGACTGCTCTTGCTCCCCTATTCTGCCTGTCAAAATTCTAAGCAGTTCCTCAACATAGTCTTGATTAGTAGCCATTCTGGACTCCAAAGTAGTGATTCTATTCTCCTGATTTTCCCGCCATTTAGGTGGATCAGTTTTATCTTGGCCTTTCTACACCAACGCAGCTAGATCCTCAATTTGTTTTTGAATCCCAGACAAATCAGTTTCTGCCATAACTTGATTCTTCTTTGGTATACCCACTAAACTTTGCCAGAATCGAGGCTCTGATTACCAATTGTTATAGAATAAGAGAATAGAGTAGATTCAATAAAAGAATTTAGAGAAGATAGATAGTAGAAAAGGAATTCATCATTCATTGCATAATGAAAATTGTGATTACACAGCAGTTTTATTTAGTTACAGGCTGTACAGAGAATCTAACAATGCCAGCTGGCATTCTCTGCTAACAAACTTCCTAACAGACTGATATTTCATTCCTTAGCTATTGCAGGAACTGGGCCGTCCTGGTTGGGCCACTCCACCTTACTCAGGATCTCTTCAGCCGGTTTCAACCCATCAGGTAATCCTCATGCTTCAATTCCCTCAATTCCCTCTTCCATTTCAATTCTCAAATTGCTCTCCATAATCCCTAACCCTCGTTCCTCTCTTCCAAATTCCTTTTCGCTTCTTTAATTGCTCTCTATAATCCCTAACCCTCTTTCCTCTCTCCTCAATTCCTCTTCACTCCTTCATTCTTCCTCTTCTCCTCTGACTTCTTGTAACACCCCCAACCCGTATCCAACCCGGATACGAGTCAGAGATATTACATTGACTTTTTAAAACACATCTCATTACAAATAATAGCAAAATATTTGAACTTATATTAAGAAAAATACAATAATATACATATAGTAATATAAGTTTACCAAAATATTCAGAGCATACACAACTTAACTCTTTAGTTACATGCCAACATCCATTTTCATAACAAAATGACCTACTGATTAAGTTTGCTTCTGATCTGATAGTTGCAGGAGTAATGTTGTCCTGCTGCTTAACCTCGATCGTCTACTTTATCGGATCCTACGTGTGAAACACTCACACGCTAAGTCATCGACTTAGTGAGGCAATATAATAATAATATCGATAAATATAAAGTAATTGCCAAAATAAGATGTGTTGCAATGATAAGATGTATGTAAACAATGCAATAACCAGAACCATGTTTCTTACGCATATACTTATCAAATTCACATTCATAAGTTCGCCTTAGTAAGTTCATTAGCCCATGGTACCGTACAGAGATCCTAAGGTATGTGAGTATTGTGAGGTTGTGCACTATGCTGTCACCACAGCTCATATAATTGCACCTAAGTGCCACGTAGAATTGCACCGGAGTGCCGCATAGAATTGCACCGTAGTTCCATATAATAATGTCCATAAGGACCACATATCATTCCTTAAGAATCATATACATATGCCAAGGATCAAGTATGTGTCTCACCAGACCTCACACATGTTTCAAAGAATACATATATGTCTTGAAGGACCACATAGACCCTATACCCTTGGCATGCCAACTATACATATAGTTCTCATTTACATAACATGAGCTTTCATAATTTATCTTATTTGTATCACGTAGACATATTATTTTCATACCTTTATCACATAACTCATATAACTTTTTCTTGCATATTCATGTCCCATAATGCATATGGTATGGATTCATGTCATATATCATAATATGAAATACTACCATGTATCAAAATATTGAATCTAGACTTATCACAAGTCTAGGAATGAATAAAATACATATTCATGCTATGCATATGCACTCACCTAGATTTCTTTGTATTTCCGTAGATTGATCCTACTTGTTGATGGTTCCGGAACTCGTTTAGGCTCGATATCTACATAGTAATTCATTGATACTTATCAGTATACTAATTAATATATTCTAAACTATCATTTCTTAGGCTAAAAGAAAAGCCATTTTCATCTTTTAATGGAGGTATGCATCGATGCATAAATCCTATTCGATGTTTGTATTTAATGGGGATGCATCGATGCACTCCTTATGCATCGATGCATAAATCCTATTCGATGTTTTCTTTTTAAATTAATGCATCGATGCACTGCATGTGCATCGATGCACCTTAAACAATTTCTGGGATTTATCATCGATGCATCGGTGCACAATGAATGTGCATCGATGCACATTGCCCGGAATTGTCATTTTAGCACGAAAATCTCTTCTTAGTCTACTTAACACTTTATATTTCCCCTCTTTATATATCCTTAACTTGCATACTCTTACTTAAACTAATTATTATCCATTCCATACTTTTGAAACTTAAAAAGGCAATTCTCCAAGTAGAATTTAAGAATCTAACCCAAATTCCAACATGTTCTAATTTGAATTCTAACACCTCATACTTCTTAGTTAGCTTTATGACAAGTCAAATTCCACTTCTAATTCTTATTAGGAACTCTAATCCAAGATTTCACTTTTCTACTTCCTTTCTTTGATTCTTCATATTCTCCTCATCTAATGGTTTTAAGATAATCTAAGCTTTCCTTAAGCTTAATTATCAACTAAGGATCAATAAGAAACCTTAAATTCATCAAGAATTTAATCAACAAGAAAACTCACCTTTAACTTGGTCTCTCGATGGAGAAGAAGAAGTGAAGAAGAAGAGAAATCTGGAAACTTTTGTTCTCTTCATTTGCCTTCCACGTGGATTTAAATATCCTCATCTAATATTTAATTATTTCCCCTATTAAAAGACTCCTTTACCCTTTTAGTTCATCATTCTTTGTTAATTGATCCTACACAAAAAATTCCCATTAAATCTTTCAACTATTCAATTTATCTACTTTGGTCACTGAATTTTATAATTTCACAATTTGATCACTAACCCGGTATGGAGGATGTTACAAATCTCCCTCCCTTAAAAAAATTCGTCCTCGAATTTTTATTGTACGAACAGATGGGGATATTGAAGTTGCATATCTTCTTCACGTTCCCACGTAGCTTTTTCTACTTTGTGATTTCTCCAAAGAACCTTGACCAACGGAACTGTCTTACTTCTTAACTGTTTGACTTCAAAAGCCAATATTCTCACTGGTTCTTCTTCATATGTCAGATCCGATTGGACTTCTACTTGTTCTGGTGCAATGATGTGAGAGGGATCGGACCTATATCTTCGTAACATGGACACATGGAAGACGTTATGGATCTTCTCCATTTCTGGTGGCAAGGATAACTGATATGCCACGGGTCCTATTCTCTTAACAACTTCATATGGCCCAATGAATCTAGGACTTAACTTTCCTTTCCGACCAAAACATAATACTTTCATCCAAGGAGATACTTTAAGGAAAACTTTATCTCTAACCTCGAACTCAATCTCTTTTCTTTTAAGATCAAAATAGGACTTTTGCCGATCAGAGGCCACTTTGAGGTTATGCTGAATTTCTCAAACTTTTTGTTCTACATCTTGAATTAAATCCGGACCAAGAACACTTCGATCTTTGAGTTTATACCAATTTAATGGAGTACGACATTTCCTCCCATATAATGCCTCATATGGGGCCATCTTTATACTAGACTGATAACTATTGTTGTAAGCAAACTCTGCCAGCGGCAAATACTTTTCCCATGATCCTTTGAATTCCATTACGCATGCTCTCAACATATCTTCCAATATCTGAATAGTTCTCTCTGAATGCCCGTCAGTCTGAGGATGAAAAGCCGTACTAAAGTTTAAACGAGTCCCCAACACTCCATACAAAGATTTCCAGAATCTAGAAGTGAATCGAGGGTCTCGATCAGAGACTATGGAAACAGGTACTCCATGCAATCTAATAACTTCTCTAATATGCAGCTCTGCATATTTTTCCATAGAGAAATCTGTTCTAACCGGGAGAAAATGCGCTGACTTAGTTAATCGATCAACAATTACCCAGATTGATTCTCTTTTGTTCGGAGTCAAGGGTAACCCCGAAATAAAATCCATCGTAACATTTTCCAATTTCCATTGAGGAATGAAAAGCGGTTGCAATAATCCTGACGGAACTTGATGCTCAGCTTTGACTTGTTGACATATCAAACACTTAGACACAAATTCGGTGATGTTTCGTTTCATCCCTGGCCACCAAAATCGATCCTTCAAATCCATATACATCTTGGTTCCACCCGGGTGCATCGTTAACGGACTGCAATGAGCATCTGTTAATATTTCTTTCTTCAAGTCGTCATTGTCGGGTATTACAATTCTTCCTTTACAATATAGATTTCCATCTGACTTAACCTCAAAGTCTTTAATCTCTTTACTCTTTACTTGCTCAATTCTTTTCAAACACGTTTCATCTTCTATGCTGGTTTAAGTTTTAACTTTGCACAAAGACCACCGTCTCCCGTTAAAGATAATCTTGCGTCCATAGCTCGTAAAGCTGCAAACGTCTTTCTACTCAAAGCATCTGCTACCACGTTAGCCTTTCCGAGATGATAGTCAATTATCACATCATAATCTTTTAAGAACTCTACCCATCTACGTTGCCTCAAATTCAACTCTTTTTGAGTCATCAGGTACTTCAGACTTTTATGGTATGTATACAAGTAACATCTTTCTCCATACAGATAATGACGCCAAATCTTGAGAGCGAACACCACAGCAACCATTTCTAAATCATGGGTGGGGTAATTCTTTTCATGTGGTTTCAACTGCCTCGATGCATAAGCTACCACCTTCCCTTCTTGCATTAATACACACCCCAACCCGTTATGGGATGCGTCATTGTATACTATAAAATTCTTTCCAGATTCCGGTTAAACCAATATCGGAGTTTCTGTCAGAATTCTCTTTAAAGCTTCAAAACTTTCTTGACATTCAGAAGTCCAAACAAACGGTACATTCTTTCTCATCATCTTTGTTAAAGGCAACACTATCATCGAAAAATTCTTAACGAATCTTCGATAATAACCGACAAGTCCAAGGAAACTCCGAACTTCATATACATTCTTTGGAACTTCCCAGTCCATTATAGCTTTAACATTATGAGGGTCCACTCTAATCTCAACTGCCGATATCACATGCCCCAAGAAAATTACTTCGTTTAGCCAGAATTCACATTTGGACAATTTCGCATATAGATTTTTATCTCTGAGAATTTGCAAAACTAGCCTCAGATGTGTGCTGTGCTCTTCAATGGACTTCGAGTAAACCAATATGTCATCAATAAAGACAACAACAAACTGGTCCAAATAGGGCTGAAAAATCTTGTTCATGAGATCCATGAAAGCAGCTGGTGCATTCGTTACTCCAAAAGGCATTACGATGAATTCATAATGATCATATCTCATTCTGAAAGCCGTCTTCGGAATATCTTTCTCCTGAATCTTCAATTGATGATAACCCGAACATAGATCGATCTTCAAAAATACCGAAGCTCCTTTTAGTTGATCAAACAAGTTATCAATACGCGTAAGGGGATACTTGTTCTTGATGGTCACCTTATTAAACTGTCGATAATCAATACAGAGACGCATTGATCCATCCTTCTTCTTAACAAATA